TGCCGCGCAGTCGGGCTCCCTCTACGCCCCGGGAGCGTCAGGACCTTTCCTCTTCCCATTCCCCGACCGACGGGGAACGCGGAAATTTACACGCTCTACGAAGCGGACGTGTAGTGCTTTACGAAGGCACTTCCACGGGGCCCCCACGCGCTAAGAGACCGACAGCTGCACGAACCTACAACCCGACGGACGGACTGACAGCCACTCTCGATCAGGAGCAAGGACCGGAGGAAAGTTAGGTTTGCGCAATTAGCTGCCATGGGTCCGCTCGCACCGAAGGAGAGGAGTAGATAGATCGAGAAGGAAATGGGCAGCGGGCGAAAGAAAGTGCCCAGAGAGACGGAGAAGGGGAAAGACACCCCGACAGACAGACAGTGGGTGACAGATTGAGAGGGAGAGACGGAAGAGAAGGAGTAGCGAGAAAAGTCAAAAACGCAAACGAGAAAAGTCAAGAAAGCAAACGGAGGAGGGAAGGTGGAAACAAACTCAAGGAAAAGCGAGGCAGAGAGGACAGCGAGGACCAGCAGGCCAGAGGGCGCAGCCCAGCGCAGGGCAGGACCCCTTCCTCAATCAGGGCTCCTGGCCCCGCGTGCGTCGCGGGAGCCGCAAGGCCGCACGGCCAGGGCTCCAGCTCGGCTCGGGCACTTCTCCCTTTGCGCTGCCTTATTGTCCGAGCTCAAGCTTTTCTCCCGGGCGCGAGCTAGGCAGCTGAGTGGGAGGTGCGAACAGTGGCACCGGAGGTGAGGGCAGAGGCACGGCTGATGCCCCTCTGGCCTGGCCTCTCGGGTCCTGGATCAGCTCCCGCGCTTGCCGTCCTACCTCGGCGCCGCGGCCGAGCTCCACGCTCCCAGGGCCGTGGGCTCCTCTTAAGCGTTCATTTCTTAATCCACCACCGAGTGCTTCTCCACGCGTTTTTAATCTCTATTTGTTTCTGTTTTGCATCCCTAAGTGACTTTCCCTGAGAGGTTCTGTTTGCTTGGTTAAAAAACAATCAACGCTGGGCTGTACTTTTGTTTCCAAAAGTTTTAAGCGTGGCCTTTGTTTTTTAATCTTTAAAACCGAGAGAATTAATATAGGTTGCTTTTTAAAAACCAAATCTATGAGGATAAATTTAAATTTTTAACTGTATTTTTCGATATGTAAAGAATTATTATACTAGGTATATTTCTCTGGAATTTAAAATATCTACATGCAACATTATTCGGGAGATTTTAAAAAGTCAATCCAAAATGGCGCGTTTCTGGGTAGCTTCTCAAAATCCATTCATAGCAGTGTTATTGTGGGAATTTAAGTTATTTAACTATAGAGTTATGTTTCCCTGAGATTTAAAAATTGCCTCTAGAAGGACATTATTGAGAAGGGATTAAAAAGCTATCTACAACAGTATATTGATTTTTTTTTAATCCCAAAGAAGTAAATGCCTGTGTCTGCCTGGAGTTTATACACACACAGCACTGTATTTAGTTAGGAGTGTGTTTCTGGCTTCTTAATTTGCATCTGCTCTGTGTTCCTGCCTATTTTTAAGAGTTTGTGACCCATTCAATGCTTTTAGGCATAGAGCTGTGAGTTTTTCTGGGCTTCTGTGTTTTGTTCTTAGTTTTTTGTTTGTTTGTTTGGTTTTTGTTTTTTTTTTCTAATGTTTCAATGTTTCTATGACTGCATTGTTTTGTGTAGCTTCAAAGAGGAGAAGCTAGAGCCCAGGTCACCTAGACAGAGTCTGTTGTCTGCGCTGCCTGTGCTGTAGCTGGAGAAATTTTCTGGGCCTTGGACTTGAGGCCTGGAGCTGAGGCGAGAACTGGGCTATGTCCTGCCTGCCCAGTGGGGCTCCCACACAGCCCTGGGGAGAACCAAGTAGAGGGGCTGCAGGCCACACTGCCTGGCTCTTGCTCCAACCAACCAGCTAGCTTCAAGCTAGAAAGAGTTGATACTAGTTCGGAAAAGCTGGGATCCCTCAGATTTAGACAGTCTCTTGGAAATGTACATTTGCCGGGGACATCAGCAGTGGGACTCAAGGTTGAGCCAAATTGTCAGAGTAGGCCCTCCTGCTCCAGGAACCTAGCCCCCACCCCGCCCCCGCTCCTGGGCTCTTCTCCCACACGCCAGACCAGAGGTGACTACTGACGACCAGGCGCGCGGTGGGCTCTTCCCAGTGGGGACAATTCCAGGGCCTCTGGTGGGAGGGAAGGCAGCCAGCACTAATGGCAGGCACTTCGGTGGATCCGGGACGGGGTACAAAAGGGCATAAGCCCGAGATGACCGGCGCCCCATCCTGCCTGCTTCAGAAAAGGAGCGCAGCGGGGAATCAAAGGGGCCAGAGGACAGCGGTGCGGGCGGCGCGGGCTGCGGAGGTGCGGAGGACCCTGCCAAGAAGAAGAAGCAGCGGCGGCAACGCACACACTTCACAAGCCAGCAGCTGCAAGAGCTGGAGGCCACGTTCCAGAGGAATCGATACCCCGACATGAGCATGCGAGAGGAGATCGCAGTGTGGACCAACCTCACTGAGCCCCGCGTGAGGGTGAGCCTGGGGCGTGCGCCTAAGGGGACCCGCGCAGACGGCTGCTGGCCACCTCTGCCGGCACTCGAAAGCTCTTACCCCAGCTCAGACTTTCACTCCTTCCCAGCGCTCAGACCTCCTCCTTCCCTCCACCGTGGGAGATTTCACCCTAGGCCCCGGTCTGCCCAGTTGCTGCCAAGCCCTTTAGCTGCTAGCACCCTGGGCTGTAGCCGCCTGGGAGCTCTGAGACACGCATCCTACCTGACTCCCAAGCTCGACCGCAGCCCCAACCCAAAGACCTGTGGCTCCAGGAGACTTTCCCAGGCCCTGTAGGGCCCAGGGCCCACTTGGATGGGACCGCCCTGGATAGCACAGAGGATTCCTGGCTGCTGGGGACCTCAGAGCTTCTGGCGCCTTCCCCTGAAAACGAAAGGGAAAGGCATGTCCTGCCTGCCGGCCTGGGAGAGGCCTGAAAGGTGCCTAGGCTCGGGGGTCTCAAAGCTTCGTGGGCAGTAGTCTCATCCATAGCTAGCTTCTCCAAAATTTCTGGAATTCTCCTGACTTATCCCCAACCATTCATCCAGTCAGTAGCTGGGCCCTTAATTACCTTTCCTGTAGCTCTGGGGTCAGGTGAAGTGGGGAGGCAGCTCTGGTGGATGAGTGACTGTCGGGTCGAGTCCTTTTGGAGACAAGGTCTCTGTCAGACCAAGACCAGACTGTATCCTCCCTCTCCTCAGTCTTTAGTTACCAGTAAAAGCAAGACTTTCCTACCAGAGCAGAAAGAATGATTTCTTCTATGGTGTACAAATATTTAATCAGATATTGGGAGTACATCCCAAGCCAGACCAAAGTCCTACCTGGGCTCCTTGCTACAACCCCAGCTCACTCCTCCCTAGTCCAGCTGGCCAGCCAGGTGGGACACGGAGTGAGGACAGCACTCAGTAATCCCAAACTCACTAATCCTTCCGGGGTTTATGGTGGGGCAGGGGTGGAATCAGGCAGTATCAGTGCTGGAGACTGGAGAAGGCTGATATGCAGGGTCTGGCAAGGAGCTGAGGAAACTCAGCAGAGGGCTGGAGAGGCAGAGGGCATGCAGTGGGAGGATAGGTGAGCATCGGCAAGGACCAGCAGTGGGAAATAAAGAGGTTCCTACTAAATTTTGTGGGAGAAGGTAGAGGGGGAGACTAGAGAAAAACTACTAAGAAGTGAAAGGACATTAAATATTTGCAGAGAAACATTTGGCATATACTTAGGTGGCAGGAAAGAAATATTTAAAGGAGAAGCAAAAGTATCAAGTATTTGAGAAAAAGAATCAACTATTTAAGAGAAACAGTGAGGGTCAGATATTTGGAAAGAAAAAAACTAAGTATTTAGGGAAGAAGCTAAGGGATCAAAATGGGGTTTAACGACGTAAATGGACTGAGGGAGAAGAAAGCAGTTCAGATAACGGGGCGGACTAAATGAAAATAAACATTTGGGGCAGAAATAATATCAAATGTCGCAAATAAAGATGGAAACAAAGCGTATGAGGAATGAAAAATAGATTGAAGAATGGGGGTGTATAGGACGATCCCATGTTTCCAGAAAGAAAAATTGCTTTTGTATTCCAAGGAAAAGAAAAAGGACGGAATATTTAGGAGATAGATGGGGACCCGCTTGGGGGGAAAGGCAAGAGATGACTGGTTGAGAGAAGAAAGAAAACGAGCATTTGTTAAAATAAAGGAGGATCCGTATTAGGAGAAGAAAACGAATTTAATTTGGGTAAGAGGATAAAGATCAGAAAAAAGGAAAAGACATGTTTCCTGGGGACAGGAAAAGAACCATTATGGAGAGAAGGCAGGGGCGGAATTATCGAAGGAAAGAAACGATACTCGGAGAGAAGGAAGCCGGGCGGAGGGCTGGAGGTGGGGGTGGAGGTGGAGGGACCTTCCCGCCCTCTGCAGCCCTGACCCTTGTCCTGCCACCCTCCCCCAGGTCTGGTTCAAGAACCGGCGAGCCAAGTGGCGGAAGCGCGAGCGTAACCAGCAGCTGGACCTGTGCAAGGGCGGCTACGTGCCGCAGTTCAGCGGCCTGGTGCAGCCCTACGAGGACGTGTACGCCGCTGGCTACAACTACAACTGGGCTACCAAGAGCCTGGCGCCAGCGCCGCTCTCCACCAAGAGCTTCACCTTCTTCAACTCCATGAGCCCGCTGTCGTCGCAGTCCATGTTCTCGGCACCCAGCTCCATCTCCTCCATGACCATGCCGTCGAGCATGGGCCCAGGCGCCGTGCCGGGCATGCCCAACTCGGGCCTCAACAACATCAACAACCTCACCGGCTCCTCGCTTAACTCGGCCATGTCCCCGGGCGCCTGCCCGTATGGCACACCCGCCTCGCCCTACAGCGTCTACCGGGACACGTGCAACTCGAGCCTAGCCAGCCTGCGGCTCAAGTCCAAACAGCACTCGTCGTTCGGCTACGGCGGCCTGCAGGGCCCGGCCTCGGGCCTCAACGCCTGCCAGTACAACAGCTGACCGCCCAGCCCGGCCACGCGGGCCCCAGGGCGCGGGGGCGGAGGACGCACGCGGGGCCTCGCTCTTCGCGCCCGGGCCTCGCGCCTGCGCAGCCCCCACCTCCCTTCTCCCCTCCGGGTTGGTTTTGTGTTTGCTTTTCCGGACCCCACTCTGCCCTCCAAAACAAAACAAAACAAAAAGACGTCGGAGCGAAGTGCCGCGGAAAAAAA